TTAAAGATTATTGTATTTATTACAAAACTTATCTTAATATGAATTATGTAGTAAATCCTAACTATGAAGTAATACAAGATGTTTCATGCAGCATCATTCATCACATAATAATCAAACCTGCATCATGTAACAAAAATTGGAAGTAATTCCTTTCCATTCTTACATAAAAAATAATAATTTGATATAAAACTTAAAAGTGTTGCTTTGATAACACTATGCAGACTGCTGACTTCCAAGTGGATTCTTCACTACAATGATTACTGAATCCCCTCGTAAAAACATCTTCTGGATGTACCTGGAAAGTAGATAAAAAAAATCAATCAATAAATAAAACAGATAAATAAAATAAATCTAAGTCTCACTTAACCCATTCGCCCTGGATTTATGCTGTTCCCTGTAGTTTTTGGTGAATTTTGTTACCTACAGATGGCTCCACATGTGCTCAGCTGGCAAGGAGTCTATCAGTAGGCCCTAGTTACCGACCATGATTTTCCCATTCATTGAATTGGTGGGAAAATTGATAACATTGCTATCGATACTGTTATTTAACCGATCGGCGTGCAAACAAACCACTCGAAAGCTGGCATGCGGCTGTACGCCGCGGCGAGCCAGTGATTCGGGCTGATGTCCCCTACTAACGCCCTCAAAGTCGCCGCCTTTGTTTGCTAGAGCGTAGAGTTTTTTTTTTTTTGTTTGGTACACCCGGCGTCATTGGGTATAAGACAATGAAATGATAAAAAAAAAAAAAAAAAAATAAAAACTTTCTGAAAATGAAGGAAAAGTGTAAACAGGTGAAATAGGTAGTTTTTGATAACTGGCTGTTTGGTGATTAACCCCTTGGTGCCGGGTGACACCGATCGGCGTGTACACAAAGAGCTCGAAAGCTGGCGTGCAGCCGAACGAGCCGGCGGCGCGCCAAAGCGCGGCGAGCCAGTGATTCGGGCTGATGTCCCCTACTCACGCGCTCAAAGTCGGCGCGCCGCCTTTGTTTGTTTAAGCGTAGAGTTTTTTTTTTCTTTTGTACACCCGGTGCCATTGGGTTAAGAACTTGTGGAACCATCTATGTGTAGATACAATAAATAAACGTGTATCAACATGGCATCTATTCTTGCCATATGTGGCGAATGGGTTAACCTACTCATTTGGAAGAAAAAATAAAGAAAGGACAAGAGGCAGATGAGGAAGGGGAGGAAAAAGAGTAGAAGGAAGAACAGAGAGAGAGAGAGAGTAGAAAATGTAGGACAAAGTGGTGAAGAAGACAAGAAAGTGGAAGAATAGGAAGAGGAAGTAGTAATCATACAAGAAGGGAGAGGAAGGAAAATGGAGGTGGTGGTGGAGAAAGAAGAGGACAAAGGACAAAAAAGAAGTGAAAAGAGAAGCAAAGAAAGAGGAAGAAAAGAAGGGGAAGAAAGTATGAAGGAAGAGGAAGACATGGGAAAGGGGGGGGAGGGGGGGGGAGGAGGAGGAGGAGGAGGAGGAGGAGGAGGAGGAGGAGGTGGAGGAGGAGGAGGTGGAGGAGGAGGTGGAGGAGGAGGAGGAGGAGGAGGAGGAGGAGGAGGAGGAGGAGGAGAAGGAAGAAAAGGTAGAGGGGGGGGGGGGGGTTCCTCTCCACCTCAGGAAGAGGTGGAGAGGAAAGGAAAAGGAAGACACAGAAGATCAGGGAGAGGTGGTAGAAAGAGGATGAGGAAGAGGGGGAAAAAAAGAGAAAGAGAAAAGGAGGAGGAAAAAGAGAAGGAAGACAGAAGAAGGAGGAAGAGGAAGAACAGTAGCAGGAAGAGGATGATAAGGAGAATAACCACCTTATCTACTTCCACTAGTCCTAATTAAGAACTCAGGAAGTTAACCCCTTGCCGCCGGGGAAAATGAACAAAAAATGGGGATAGTGCTGTGCCTATTTATATATATATTTTTTTGTGAAATGTTTGCCCATAGATGGCTCTGTTAGTGCCTAATTTGAAATGGCGGGAAAAACGTATTTTTCACTAGTGTCATGACTATCGATGGTGTTATTTTAATTATAAACATTATAATTATTGTTTTTTAACATTAGTAAAAGCAAAATAAGATAACAAAATATTTTGTAAATCAAAGAAAAGGGTGAACGGGCGAGACAGGCAGTACTCGTAACTGGCTCATTGATGGTTTAGTACAAGTGTAGCCATCTATGTGTGAAAACAATCTAACAAGTAATCTCACAGTGGGCATGGGATGGCATGCCCGGCAGGAATGGGTTAAACTGTATAATAGAAAGAAATCTTAAATTATAACCGTCCCCTTCACATGAATCGCAAGGAAGATAACAGGCATCTTTTCTCCCGCTACCAACCTTTCTCGGTTCACTGCCTTGGCTTTCTTCTGTCCCTTGGCTGTCTTTGGCTGCTCCATCCAAATCTCTGTCACCTGCTCTAGGACCATGTTGAAGTGCCGGTCAAAAGCTTTCACACGTCCAAGAAGCTTCTTGTTGTTTCTGCAGTTGATCAATACCTAAAAGATGTTGAAAATTCTTAGCCGCGAGAACAAACTTACATTGTACTATGAGCAACATTACAAAATGCAGAGCACAGCCACAATGATACGATCTCACCAAGATCATCTGACAATAAACCAAAATTGATGATCAGACACAATAACGCCACAAAATTTCAAAACTGTTGCAATTATATAGGTTCCCTTTTTTTTCTCTCCTCTTTGATAATATCAATCTTTTAGTAAGTTATATTTTTTGTGGCAAACAAACTTCATATCACAGTGTAAAAATAACCTCCTCTTTTTGTGTAGCTGGGCCTTATCATATAGGAAATTCATCATAAATCATCAATCCACCTCTCTCACAGCAAATAATATAGTATAACATAAAGGCTTTCATAACTAACCTGGGTATTGTTCTGAACAGACTCATTAAGAATACGCAAGGGACCTGTTGCAAATTCCTCTCTCTCCAGGGCTGCCAGCTCCTCTGGGGTCATATCACTACGACGCTTCTGTGCTGCTCTGAAAAAACAAAATCACTTTCAGTTTTATAATTTTTTAACTCTTGATTTTGAATATGCTGTGAATGTGTGCTGAAGAATAGCAATTAGTCAGCATATTTGTGTGTGTGTGCGTGTGTGTGTGCTTGTGCGTGCACACACATGCACCTATGGGTACTTCTCCCTCTATTATATTTTATCTAAATTCACTCTGAAGTGCTTCTTATCTCTGACAAAATTATAATCTAAAATCTTACCTAATGGTGCCACAAAGTGAAGCATTATCACACTCTCCCCACCACTACTGCTGCAGCAAAAGCCAGTAAACCTCACCGCAAATGCTCTTGCCTGAAAGAGTTTAGGAACATTCCATATTTGATGATAACATGGAAGTCTACAAACTCTGTCATGCCGAGTATCATTAGCAGAGGTTTACTGGTATTTGTTGGAGCACCAACAGTCACAGAGGTCATCCACAGGTTTGTGGCAGAGGTGCAGGTGTATTAGTACTATTAATGGTAAATATTCAGAATACATTTGCATGACTGATCACAATATTATCAATATCGATAGATTCCTCACACTCTACTACATGTATATGTGGGACATTTGAGGACAACCCCCCCACTCCCCAATTTTCAATATTCTTGGTTCTGATAGCTGGGGAGGGCATGGTTGGTATCAGGGAAACTATGGGGTATATGAAGAAAATACACAGTAAAAGTCACTATCTTATCCTCCATGTATTCACGGCAGGGTAAAGCATACAACCGACATGCAGGAGCACTCAGTGCCGAGTCTGTCCTATGCTTTATCCTGGTGGAGTCTTTGTTGTCCCGGGTATGGGTTGGGGGCAGCAGACTCATGCATTTGACTATATTTCAACCAATTTTGTAAATTATTCACGATTTACCCCAAATTTTCCCTAGTAAAATGCATGCCCTCCTCTGCTATCGGGGAGAAGACTGAGGTATTGGGGAGTTTTCTGTGGGATAATTTCTACATATTTAGGTATTAGAGAGTGGGAGGAGTCTATCAATATCACCATGATCGGTCATATGAAGGCATTTTCAATATTTATCCAATGTATCAAATCAAGAACTACTCCATTACAAAAGTTTGTTAATTTCTAATGCCATCTCTCTTTTCAAGATAAAATTATTTTCTCTCTAATGAAGTAAAGAATGCTGAGGGTATTTCATATCACTAATATGTCCATTATAACTTTTATTATATAAAGGTTTATAAAAATTTACATAATCCCTCTTATAGTGTCAGAAGAGAAGATTGAGACCATGATACTGATTTCATAACAAGTACATGCAACAGAAATATTGATTTTCTAAACAAAAATAAATGACAGTTGACAGGAATGCACCACATTATTCACAAACATGTGTATGCTTGTGCTAAGAAATCTGTACTCCTAAATTATGTACAGGTTATCAATATACACAAAATGTATAATTATAATGTAAAATATAAAAATAATATACAAGACCAAATCACAATACAAAGACATTTACCCTTTCTTTTAATAGGATAGTAGATTCAGTAAAGCTTTTCTTTGTAAAATCACATTGGTATAGTGCTTGTACTTCCTATACATAGTTGACAGCTCATCATTTGCATCAATGACGAGCACAGGGGCCAGCAACGGGTACTTCTCCTCAAAGATCCAGTTCTCGTAGTGACTGTGCAGGGCTCTGATGTACTCGAGCGGAATCTGCTGCTCCTCGTCCCTGGCGCGGTCCCTGATCCGCGCATGTACCAGCTCAGGATTGGTGCGCAGGTATACAATGAGATCGACTCCACAATCCACATACCCCAGAATGGCCTTGTACCACTCATTGTACACGTGGTACTCGGCCTCGCTCATTACGCCACTCTGGTACATGTTCTCCACAAAAATGTACCTTGCACTGTGGATGGAGCGTTCCATTAGCTTCACGGGGGCAGTGCAAGGTTGCAAATGACTCTGGGCCATCGTCAGCTGCACGTACGTCTGGAAAGCGTGCGACCAGCGGATCGGGTCGTTGTACATGAGCTTGAAGAGGTTGTGGCCGTGCAGGTCTCGCCATTTTTCTACCGGCTCTTGCACGGCCTCCACCTCACCCAGATTCCTGAAGTGGCGGATGAAGGTGGACTTCCCACTGCCAATGTTGCCCTCCACGCTGACGGTCAGCCACCCCCTGGAGGCGGCCTCCTGACCCCCACTCCTCCGGGCGTCCCTCTCGGGGGCTGTTGGGGGCTCCCTCCCCCGCAGCAGAATCTGGCTCAGCCGCTCGCGCTTCCTGGCCGGACCCTCCAGCCTCGGCCAGCGAAGGGCCACGCCTCTCACGCGGGAGAGGAAGGGCCACATGCTCTCGCAGGCGCCGCTGTCAGTGCAAGGGCCGTCGAGCCGCGCCGCCAGACACGGCGAAACACGTCGCGACCGATCAATTCCCGGGAACTTGTTTGGCGTTGTTGCCTAGGGACGGAGGATTCAACGGTGTAATCCATTTGATTGATTCTATATAATGCAACACATCATCTGCTACTCAATTTCGACGAGATCTCGACGCGTCCTCTCCCAAATTCCCGAGAAAACAACCGCACACCGAGAATGGACCTTAGATAATGCTCAGCCGCCGCCGCTTCCATCCCATGACTCTCTCCCTCTCTACTGCCTTATGCAACTCTCATCTGCTGCAACTACCTACCTCTTTCACTCTTCTTCTTCATCATCAACAGTAAAATATGCACCAGTATACTTACGCCATGACGCTGGTTGAGATATTCAGGGATTATTACACCCAGTCAAAATTTTCAGACAAGTTTACCAAATAAACGTTTTTACTTGTGCTGCCATCTACAACGTTCCAACGCGTCCGAATGCGATATTAATTTGTTTCACCGATCTTATTCTTAGTGCACCTACCACATAAATTCTTATTGTGTGAATATAATACATATTCTTTTAATATGAATATTGAGATATGTAATTAGAATTTTTTAGTAATTTTACAAATAGTAATCCTATTGCTAAGAAGTTAAAGTCGAAGTCAGTATCGAGAGACAATCGGCGGATCATGAAGAAAAATATGGTTCTATATAATTTTCTGGCTCTGTTTTCTATCAGTATTTTATCACCAAATTGATATAAAACGAAGCTGCATATATAGCTTATGCAAATATGTTATAACCAAATGAATATGAAGCTTCATGTTTTGTTATAGCATGATGATGCGATTTGCCGAGATGCAGTCAAATTACGATATTTCTGATAACGGTCTGGTAAAATTTAATGTGCTATTTTGTGTCAATACATATATATGTGTATCAGTGAGTGAGTGACTGTGTGTGTGGGGGGGGGGGTGTATGGGTGGGTGTGGGTGCGTGTGTGTGTGTGTGTGTGTGTGTGTGTGTGTGTGTGTGTGTGTGTGTGTGTGTGTGTGTGTGTGTGTGTGTGTTTGTGTGTGTGTGTGGGGGGGGTGCGTGTGTGGGTGTGTGGGTGCGTGTCTATCTGTGCGTGCGTGCGTGTGATGTGGTGTGGTGTGTGTGTATGTGTGTGTACATATATATACATAAACAGATGGAGAGAGAGAGAGAGAGAGAGAGAATTAGATGTGTATTTGTGTGTCTTTTTTATCCTGTAAAAATGTCAGGGATCAAAAAAGTACATTTTGTAATCCTGAAAAAAATGGTTCACGAGCGTGGACTTCGCGTGATTTACCATGTGCATAGCTCATCTTAAAAATACTTTGAATTGTGCAGTAAGAATTCTGACAATGATAAACCATCTCAAATTTCTTTGATTAGAAACAGTATACATGTCATTTCACGATAGCCTCCAAGAATTCTGACAATGATAAACCATCTCAGATTTCTTTGATTAGAAACGGTATACATATGTCACTTCACGATGGCCTCTTTTAACTGAAATAATTAGGCCTAATTTCCTTCTTTCACTTCTTAGCATCTTTTCTCTTCAAGTCGCAAGAAAGATGCTGAGGACGAGAGGAAACACATGCAGGTTGAGACAGATTGTGTGCTGGTAAAAGCCATAGCAAATGGATCCTGTATCTTGTTGATTTCATCAAGTCTAAATACATTAACAGTAATCTAAATCTTAAACGTTTCTTCGTCTCACTTGAATGTAAATTGGTTTTATTTTGCGTGGGAGTGTTGGTAGTATTTTTACCCTTGAGTTTAGTAATATGAATATTCCTTACTTTTATGCTTTATGCTTTAAATGCTCTTTCTCGGCCTGTCTGTCTCAGACTCTTTGTCTCTGCCTCTCTCTCTCTCTCTCTCACTCCCTCCCCCCCTCTCTCTCTCTTCTCTTTCTCTCTCTTCCTCTCTCTCTCTCTCCTCCACCACCCCCCCCCTCTATGCTCTCTCTCCTCTCTCTCTCTTTCTACCCTGTCCCTCTCTCTCCACCCTGTACCCCTCTCTCTCCAGCTTGTCTATTAGTATACCTATGTCTATCTATCCTGTTATCTTAGCTTTCTCCACCCCCCCCCCCCCCCTCTATCTCTCTCTCCTCTCTCTCTCTCTCTCTCTCCTCCACCCCCCCCCCCCCCCTCTATCTCTCTCTCCTCTCTCTCTCTCTCTCTCTCTCTCTCTCTCTCTCCTCCACCCCCCCCCCCCCCCTCTATCTCTCTCTCCTCTCTCTCTCTCTCCTCCACCCCCCCCCCCCCCCTCTATCTCTCTCTCCTCTCTCTCTCTCTCTCTCTCTCTCTCTCTCTCTCTCTCTCTCTCTCTCTCTCTCTCTCTCTCTCCTCCACCCCCCCCCCCCCCCTCTATCTCTCTCTCCTCTCTCTCTCTCTCCTCCACCCCCCCCCCCCCCCTCTATCTCTCTCTCCTCTCTCTCTCTCTCTCTCTCTCTCTCCTCCACCCCCCCCCCCCCCCTCTATCTCTCTCTCCTCTCTCTCTCTCTCTCTCTCTCTCCTCCACCCCCCCCCCCCCCCTCTATCTCTCTCTCCTCTCTCTCTCTCTCTCTCTCTCTCTTGTATTTGTTTCTCCCCTTTCTCTCTCATCTTACTCAACATTTTGGTAAGGCATGGTAAAAACAAAAAATAATAAGATAACCAGTCCATTTTTCCTCCTTTCCTTCATTTCCCCTTCCTTTTAAACTGAGATAATTATAATTACCTCTGGCGTTGTTTATTTATAGACGACTAGCAGATTGAAGGCAAAGTGTTTATTTTGCATCTAAATACAGATACTTTTTTCTCATACTGGGGTCATCGGGAAAAGTTTCTATTTTAGATTTGATATCAATGTGGTCCTGCAGTCCTGAAATCTGAAATATTCTCGTATGATCCATGGGCGAATTGGGTATTTGTAAAATCATGCCCTTTTTTCCCAATAAATAAGATATCAGAAGGACGAAAGATATCCTACATTAATTTTATATTTTAATAATCATAAACCAAAATTAACTGTCTCTTCCCTTCAAATGTAGTTTAATTATATATTCTAATAATCAGAAACCAAAATGAACTGTCTTTTCTCTTCGAATGTAATTTAAGTTCGTTGTCACATTCTCACTATGCACTTTGGATTCTTCGTTGCAAGAACGCTTAATCACAGTTGTTTGCGCGTGGTTTACTGCTTTGGCGGGAACACATCTTATTCAGGCTCTTTGTCAGGAACATAAAACCTCATTCAAGCTCTTTGATAGGATCATAAAAGCTCATTCAAGCTCTCTGATAGGATCATAAAAGCTCATTCAAGCTCTCTGGTGGGAACATATAAGCTCATTCCAGCTCTCTGTTAGAATATAAAAGCTCATTCAAGCTCTCTGACAGGAACATAACTTAATCAAGCCCTCTGGCAGGGACCTAAAAGCTTACTCAAGCTCTTTGACAGGGACATAAAAGCTCATTCAACCTCTCAGACAGGAACATAAAAGCTCATTCAAGCTCTCTGACAGGGACATACCTCGTTCAAGCTATCTGACAAGAAAAGGAAAGCTCATTCAATCTCTCTGGCAGGAAAATAAACGCTCACTCAAGCTCTTTGACAGGAACGTAAAAGCTCACTCAAGCTCTCTGGCAGGAACTCATCAAAAGCTCATCCAAGGTCTCTGGTAGGCATATAAACGCTCTTTCCAGCTTTCTGACAGGATCATATCTTGTTCAAACTCTCTGACAGGAACATAAAAAGTTTATTCCAGCTCTCTGATAGGGAGACAGAAATGCTGAATATTCGTAAAACATAAAGACATTTAAATTCGATAATGACAGCGATATCATACTTAGAGATTCATAATAAGCATTTCCTAACTAATATTTTTGAGTATAAACAAAACATAATTATACACAAAGACATCAGAATAACAGCATGGAGATTATTTTACAAGCAATAAGAGTTGAATCAGTGTGTTCTAAGGTCCTTTCGTCAATGCCACGGCTGTATACCTGAGGACAGAGTCGACTGAGGACAATGGATTTACTGTAAGATGGGAAACATGGCTTTTCTGGTATGTGAGGCGAGAGAGATCGCGAGAACAGGTCACTATGCCGCCGACCTTAGAAATCACCTGTGCGACCGTGCTCCTCTGCAAGATACGAGACTCCCTGTGTCACTTGCCTCCGTCATCTGCCTCCTGTTATCCACCTGCATCGCCTACCCCAGATTCGCGAACGATTCTTTTTAGGTGGCCGAGCGATATAGTAACCTGTTCTCATGATTTCTTTCGCCTCATACAGCAGAAAAGCCAACTGTTTCTTATGTTACAGTAATTCTTACTGCCCTTGGTGAATGCAGCCGCAGGTCACGGACTAAAGAGGTCACTACAGCCACAGGTCACGGACTGAACAGGACCATGCAGCCACAGGTCACGGACTAAACAGGTCCATGCAGCCACAGGTCACGGACTAAACAGGTCCATGCAGCCACAGGTCACGGACTAAACAGGTCCATGCAGCCACAGGTCACGGACTGAACAGGATCATGCAGCCACAGGTCACGGACTAAACAGGTCCATGCCATACAGCCACAGGTCTCGGACTGAACAGGACCATGCAGCCACAGGTCACGGACTAAACAGGTCCATGCAGCCACAGGTCACGGACTAAACAGGTCCATGCCATACAGCCACAGGTCTCGGACTAAACAGGTCCATGCAGCCACAGGTCACGGACTAAACAGGTCCATGCAGCCACAGGTCACGGACTAAACAGGTCCATGCAGCCACAGGTCACGGACTAAACAGGTCCATGCAGCCACAGGTCACGGACTAAACAGGTCCATGCCATACAGCCACAGGTCTGGGACTGAACAGGTCTTTTCGTGTTATCTTCAACATGGATGGGGTTGAAATGGATTTTGTAAATGGTAACGTATTGGCGCGGGCTTTATATAACCATGTTTCTTCCCCTAAATTATATGTTCTTCGTGGCCCTTGATGGTGTTGGAGATGAATTCTACTCGTTTTCAAATCAATGTTCAGTCAGTTTCAGTATTATAAACAAGTGATGCTTTCTTAACAATGATGAAATGTATTCGCCAGATCTGTCAACTTCCCTAAAAATAAATACTGACTAGTGACCAATGATGCAGAGCTGTTGGCGCACATCGGCAGTTTCCCTGTTTGCGCCTGCCTTGTTCGGTAGTTCACGGACAACATTAGGCACCTGGTAGCTTATAATTGCATTTCACTTAAAGAAAGAAAAATGCTAAGGGTTTCCTTCAGTTTAAGTGCGATTCGGGACTCGGCCCACAATAGCCATGGTATCATATGCAAAAAGCTCGCAAAGTAGTTGATCTTTTACATAATTATAGAGACAAACCCGGATCCGCTCTCTAGAAATTAAATCACGCTATTCCTGTTGCTATTAGAATAGACAAAAACTATTTTCAGTCAGCTTTCAGTGCCAGTCTCCAATAACAATGTTTAGAGCCAGAGCGGCTCCTTGAATGCCGTGACATTCTTGGACATCGAGCTCAATGTAGCTCTGATGGTATTGTCACAACTGGTGAGTCAATTGATATCAGAAAATAAGAAATAATGTATTGTAAATGTGAAATACCTTTAAGCCAACATTCTTTATCGAAGGCATGACATACAAGTACATACAAGGGTTAAGTGCACACAGAAAACCTTCACGCCATCCAGTTTAGCTAAGAGGAAGTGTCTCTTTACCGCCGATAGATCGATAATATGATTTCTTGGCTAACTCAAACATATCTTTTCATGGGAGCAACTAAAATATTTCTCCTATTTTTTAAATTGCAGAATCACAATATGATGCACTAAGTGAATATAAGTTTACATAGATTTGTATTTGGTGGCGTACCTCCCTTCCCCCCTCCGCACTTTAGATTTCAACCATCCCCTCATAACTTACAAGTAACTCTCCTGGAAAGGAATTAATGAAGGTACAAAACACAACTCCACTGAACTTCGATTCTAATGAAATACTGAATCTCAATCTTGCCAGTTATTTGGTGATGTACAGTTTTTGGTTTGGCCTACTTGTATATAGAGTAGTGTTAATCTTTCTGTTTTTGTATCCATAATGTTCAGCTTTGTCGAGCCGAGGTAGAGCTCGTTAAGTCAAACGGCCATTATGGGGTTCAACCATTGAGCGCGAGATTGGGAGGGTAGGCAGGACCAAGGTCTATATATGCATATATATACATACATCTATACATATACATACATACATACATACATATGTATATATATACTTATATAGATCTTGAGCAGGACGACCGTTGCAGGACAGACGATCGCTAACCTGCAGGGAAGACAAACGTATGGCCGGTAGCTCTGCCTCAGTCAGTTTTTCGTTCGTTTTGCTTTATATGGAATGATTTCTAATAAATACGAGAGACAAGCATCTTTCCCTTCGCCATGGAACCACACTACTACACCGTGATTATCTACTAACTTAATTACTTTCTCATATTCATGTCAAAGTAAATCATTTTAAGAAACTGCTTCCCAGCTATGATTCATTTTTACATAGTTTTCAAAATATCCTTTGCTATTCAGCTGTAATCTGAATAGTAGCCTGATGTATCCTTTATATATAATTTAGTACATGTTTAACCACACCTTAATCATTATTTGTTAGGTTAGACATATGTAAAGGCAAATTAATTTGCAACGAACATAAATCTAATAGATTTTATTACATAGTATCTTTTATTTTTAACATTACAAAGTTAGAGTGCCAGTTGCTTCATGAAACTGACATTGTTGCACGTTTGCCTATTTCTTAATGTATTATCACCCTAGTTCTTCTACAATAACCGTGTGTTATTAAAATTTAGAAGTCACTTGAAGACAAGGAAACGTATAATGAACACCACGTAACAGGAAAGGGAAGTGTTCATGGCTAATTTAACATTTCCAATTCCAGTGAAAGGGGTGCATACACTCTAGTAACAGAGGATGGGAAATCATATAAATAGATTTGGAATCAAATTGGTTTAACCAAAATTTCTTGGTGAGCAGTCAAAATTAGGGTAAGTCATATGAACTGGAAAAATCGCCGGAAAAAGCAGGCTTGCATTCTCTCATCTGGGCGCTTCTCTAGCACTTGCTCTAGAGTGTGACCTCGCCCTGAGTGACAGTGAGTGCTACTTGCACAGGGATACTTGAACAGCACTGATACACCATCTGGCGGTATCTTGCATTGAGGCCCACGAAGAGAATGGGGTCGACGACAAAGTGAATTCGGTATATCACGTGGATGATAATATAGGCAGGTTCTTTCAGAGTAACTTTCGCTGCGTGAATGATGATGTCTGGAACTTCAAAGAGAGTGCTCGTCAAAATGAAGATTCTTATAGCTCTTTCGCAACTGTCAGGCGGTGAAATGGATCCCTTTTTGAAGAGCATCTGCGCGGGAAAACAAAAAGGCGTTCAAAGGAAATACAACAATAATGAGGGAACAATAAATCGTGTCGTTTCAAGACAGAACTGAAAACTAGGACATTTCGAGTGTTTATTTCAGTCACATCAGCTAATGAGTATTTTAATACGACTCGAAACATTACGATTTGAATTTCCAATAGCAAGTCGTTACTGTTATTCACAGATCTTATCATATATTTCGATATTTAGTCGTTCGTCAAATCGATTTATTTATTTATTAATGGATAATGGAAAACTACTCACGAACAAAGCCATGACAAGGTAGACGATCAGTGTAATGACCGTTGGCGCCGAGACGAATCCAAACTGCGTAAGTCTATCAATGAAATAGTTGTTAGGATCGAATGCTTCAATGCCTGAGTCATCCTGAGAAAAATATGATTGACAGATGTTAGATTTTACTTGAATCACAGACGAAAATCGGATGTGCATTCTCTTTCTCTCTCTCTCTGACTGTCTATTTACTTAATTGTGTGAGTGTGTGTGTGTGAGAGAGAGAGAGAGAGAATGGTTAAACATGATTCTGAACACGGTTTTGTTCTTAGTAAATGAAGGGTATAACATTAATTAAGCAACTCCTTATGACTATACGCCCGACTTTTGTATATGATCACTGCATTACGAAGAAAATACAAGTACTACTAAAAATATAAGTACCTTTGTAAAGTGATTTATTATCCGTAGCAGGACTACCGGCGAACAGGCAATTAAATTTACCAGTACCACCAGTTTCTTTTGAGACCAGTACCTGTACTTGAGAGGGAAACACACAGCCATCATCCTGTAAAAAAAAGTATTCGAATTGAAAAGTCAAATTCATGATGGCGTTAGGGATTCAAAACATTAATTACGCGTTCAGTAAACAAGAAGACAAAACGGAGAACCGCAAATACACATCACCTGTAGATAGCGATTAACATAACGGTAACACGCTCAGACTGTGTAGCCACGATGTACAGGTACATAAAAACTGTTGCTGACGTCTTGTCAGTCTTGTACACATCGCTCAGTATTCGGTATTCAATCGCTGCATGACCTGGCAGCAGGAAGAGGCAGATTACGAAATCGGCGGTGAATAATATCTGCAATTGAATCTTCATCCCGCTTTGAATCACTTCGCATGTCTTCAGGCAATAGTGAGCAATGCAGCATGCTGTTGTAACGAGAAATTAGAGTCAGAATTTTTTTCTATTACCATCGTGAGGTACAATGCTTATAATTCCACATGATTTGACAATATACATGCAACAATATAACAGTCTGTGTATCTATATCTATCATTCGCCAGCGGTATGTGGCAGAATATACTTTCAGAAAAAAGTGTGTCTATCAAAAATAAAACCGAACAATATTGCTTTATTTTTTTTAATCCTTTTTGATACAAATGTTTATCATACTTAAATGTGTCTGATTTGTTTGAGTGTATTATGTATTGTGGGATCCTATTCCAGCCACGAATGGTGCGTGGAAAGCTTGAGTGTGTGTCAGAATCTGCAATGGCGTTATGTTACGTATTTTTGGTCGTGAGCGTTCCGCGTATTGGTTGTTTGCGTAGTGTAGGTAATCCTGTTTATTTCTGTCAATTTGACTGTGATTTTGAACATAGACGTTAGTCCATGTGCTTGTCTGTGTATTATTATATTAGTCGTAGAAGTAGTAACACAAAACGAGAGAAGCAATAGCAATGAATAAGAGTAATAATCTTCACCGAACGGGACTTACCAATAACCCCGACGAAGCAAGTGACCAGCTCGAATCCCAAAGCCACACCTCTGAGTTTCGAGACTTCAGCGAGATTTGTGGGCGTGGTGCTTGTGTTGAGAATCAGACTTGTGTTGCTTATGTTAACAACCATGATGTCTGTGTTGAATGAATCCTATTTATGCTGGGAGTGTTGTTAGGTGTGAAGGATGCTAGGTGTGTCTGTGCGGGAACTACTTTGATAATGTGACGGGAAGTCTGACTTATTCCTTGATTATCTGTATCTCGCACGCGCATGCGAGCGCCCACACACACACACACACACACACACACACACACACACACACACACACACACACACACACACACACACACACACACACACACACACACACACTGTAGGGGCCCGAATGATGAGCCCTACAAGAGTATGGTAGGTGGCGAGCTTCGCGTGTAAGGTAGACAACCAAGATGTCTTGACTCCTTTATTGTATAGTGACAATGGAGCGAGGTGTTGCTCCTTGGCCCGCAGGGAATCTGCCTGCAAGAAGTGGTCTAAAGATGGGTATAAATCATGTGCATGTGACAGCCGGTGATGAGTAAAGGTAGTGTTGCAATAATACATAGCTCTTCCGGAAGAGGATGGACAACACAACTTTGGGATATCTAGTGTGGCAAGAAGAGATGAATGAACTGGTGAAGCAATGGGCATCTTACATGCATGTATAATGTGCGTGTAGGAATCCATGCATGTGACAATATATAAGATTATATAGTTTATGAAGAATAAAACACAACAGAAACGTAGAATAACTATTCATATTTCAGCAACAGTATATATATATATATATATATATATATATATATATATATATATATATATATATATATATATATAAAGCTGGGTTATACGCACACACACACGCACACACACACTCACACACACATACATACACATACATACATTTACGTATATATTATTCCAGTAATATTAGCCGGTATTCCTTTCAATTTCATGATCTCCCAGACAGTATTCCTGGCACACCGAATTAAAGGCCCCAATCAACCCAAGGCCGAAACCACGAACTCCACAGATTCGGTCTGCTAAACTACGGTTTATCAGTCTAAATTGCTGCGACCTC